AAACCAAAATTTCATTGCAGATTCGGGGTCCTCTCGCCGAGCGCAGAATGACCCCAGTTTCAAAAAATAAAAAATAAAAAATTCTGGGCGGTTTTTTGTCCTGCCCCGTTTACCCGGGCGGCCCCCCCTGGGCCCAACTGGCTGTGGCCCGGCAGGGCAGGCCCGGCCGGGCAGCGTCCTCACTCAGCTTTTCTTAGATTTTGTTTTCTCACTAACTCTGTTGTGGAAAATCGCAATAGCGCAACATCTGAAATTTCAAATTTCCGATTTCGTTTTTCTTCTGAAAATTCGAAATTTCGTTGTTGAAAATCCGGAATTTATTTTTTTTCGAAAATTTTGATTTCCTGTTGCAATTTCCCGTTATTTAGAAAATCTGGAATATTTTTATTCCAAAATCCGTTTTTTTTCTTAAACGGTACGGGAATCCCTCTTTCAGTTAGCATTCTCCAAACTGCGCGTACTCTCATCTGTGTAATTCCGAATTTTTTTTTGTACTTCATTTTCGGAATTCTTTTATCAGAAAGTCATTTGCGGTCTGAAAGTTCGAAATTTTTTCTCATTGATAATTTCGCACTTCAAGGGAATTGGGGGGCCTACTGAACTTGCAAACGAGTATTTTTTCTTTTTTCTCGAATTTTTGCAAATGCAATCAGACTCGACTTATTCACACTTTTCATGCACGTGATCAGCAGCACAACAAACTGGCGACATGCGCCCACACAGTACACAGAGATATGGCTTCCAGGTAAATTCACTTCCACTGGCTATGGCGACTGAGCGCCCAACATCCACTGTTCACCCACTGGATCACCCTGGATATCCCACACACGACACTCTATACACGCACGCAACACACACACATACCACTACAGCTATGGCAGCGCTAGCTGCCACTACCCTATCGGTATACTACACTTCTCTGCCCACTTCGACTTCGGGCACACTGCAGACCTCCTCGCACAAGACGCTGAGGCAGCGCTTCCGCATGGCTTCCGCAGGAATGAATGAATGGCTGTGCGCAGCCTCTTGATTTATACTTCTGTGCCTCGTTGGTCTGCCCTGTTTCCCTGGCCCACGATGTGCACAGTCCCAGACGGTACTTGCTTGACTGGACCGGGCTGGCTGGACTGGGACTGCTGACTCTGCGTGGTGGACTTCTACCACTTGCCCACTGGCCTCTACCCAAACTGGGGCTGACTCCGAAAGGCCACTTCTAGAACTATCTGTTTGGATTTTCGGTACTGTAGCAGCTACGACCCTACCCTTTCAGGTAAGTAGCAGCTACGACTTTGACCCTTCAGACAGTCTACAGCTACGACCTCTGGACTGTCTAGACTCCTACCCGACAGATCTACAGTTTGAATCCCCTGTACCATGTAGATCCTACCTACCACTGGCGGTCCTAAAGGTCACAGGTTCAAATCTACGGGTTCTCACAGGTATTGTACACAGGTAAGGTGGGGAACTAGGGATCGAGCCTTGGGACCTGCATCAGTTACTGCAAACTGGTGAATACCGTTTCACTCCCGCCGGCCTAAATCCGAGGTCCTCCGAGAAAATTTCAGTCCAAGGCAGGACCTTTACCTTTCTGTTGCCTCTCGTAGGCCCGGACTATATGGGGAGCTGTCTCTAGAAGTTCAGATCTCGTAAACCAGCGGTCGTCTTCCGGCTCTTGATAACTAAAATGAACATTGTACTGTTTCTGTGGACGACCTCTACCTCCAGTCCTGAATACCTCTTTAGCCACTATGACATCTATGTCATACCTTATATCCATATCTGGTGGAATCATAGACCTACGGGATGGAAACGGATCACTTATTTGACAAGGTGACAACTTCGATGCATGGAAAACTGGGTAAGTGTGGAGGTGTGCTGGGATTTCTATGGTATAGGACGGCCCATCTTCGCCGCCCTTGACTTCCAGCACCGGCCACGGTCCTCTATACGTAGGCAGTAACTTCTGCGAAATGTTCTCTTCAGGCGCAAACTCTTTAGACTGGACCCAGACCAAGTCGCCTACTTGAAACTGTGAAGGGCGACGGTGCTTGTTCGCCTGTTCGATCATGCGGTGCTGGGCCTGCCTAAGATTCTCAACAACAGTTGCTATCTCTTTCTCGTGCTGAATCGCAAACTCCCTTGTACCGGGCGGTAGCCTGTGAATCGCAAACTCCCTTGTACCGGGTGGTAGCCTGTTCAAATGGTCTTCGTGGTCTAAAGGACTTATGGAGCTCGTTGGGGGTGCGGCAGGTTGACAGGTGCAGGCTGTTGTTGTATGCGCTGGCTACCTTGGGAAGCATCTCATCCCAATTGACTTGATCAGGTCTAATGTACATGCGCAGGACTTGCTGCAGGACCTTGTTCATCTGTTCAGTTTGGCCGTTCGTCTCTGGATGACGGCCAGATGACATCAACAACTTGGATCCGTAGACTCGCATCAATTCCTGCCAGTTTAGACTTGTGAACCAGGTATATCTACTGCTAACTATAGACAGCGGAACCCCGTGTTCACTGACCCAGTGATCAAAGAACTTATGAATTACTAATTTTGTTCTGGCTTCTGACGGCAAGGGAACAAAAATAGCATACTTACTAAATCTGTCTACTACGACCATAACTTGGCTTTTGCCATGCCTACTCTTAACACCGGTGTCCATGAAGTCAATGGACACTGAATCTCCCGGCTGTTCATGGATAGGTAAAGGTCTGAGAAGACCTAAAGGGGCACGCGTAGTTGACTTATTCCTCTGGCAGACTTTGCATCTGCGAACATACTCTATGCAGTCATTTTTCATTCCTGGCCAGGTGTACGCGTGCATCAGGTTGGCTAAAGTTTTCTTGCCAACCAAAGTGTCCTTCGGTGTCGTGATATTCCCCCAAGATCAGACTCCGGATCTCTTCACTGTTGGGGACGCACAAACGGTCTACTACGTTAGTCTTCTCAAACAACAACCCGTCAGTAGTGCGGTAATATGGCTCGGACTCTGGGGCTTCGTTAACTCTCTTAAGGAGCTCACTATAGATGGGGTCCTGTGCGTACGCCTCTTTAACTTTCTATTGTAGGTCTGACCCTATATCTAGTTAATGGACTATGGCCCCAAAGTAATCAGCTCTCCTACTCAGAGCATCCGCGACTACGTTATACTTCCCTTTGACCGGCTTGAGCTCAAAGTCATATTGATCTAATTTCTGCGGCCTACCTAGTAAGCTTAGGTGTCATTTTGGCCTGCGTCTTTAACCATCGCAATGTCACGTGGTCAGAATAGACTTTGAAGAGCCTCCCAAGCAAGTAATGCTTCCAGTGTTCTAATGCTTGCCTGAGAGCGTAGAGTTCCCTCTCATAGGTAGATGTCGCAACCTTCTCTGAAGGCATCCTAGCGGACATGAACTCTACGGGTCTATAACCATTGCCATCGTCTTGCTGCAACACCGCACCTATGTCGTACTGGCTCGCATCCGTAGTGACGACAAAGGGCAAGGACGGATCGGCTGCCTTAAGGACTGGATATTCTATTAGTGCCTGCTTCAGCTTCTTCATAGCAGATGTGCAGTCCTTATCCCACTTCCAGATGGTTTCCTTCCTCAGTAATCTGCGAAGGGGCGCAGCGATAGTGGAGAAGTTCCTCACGAACTTCCTATAGTAGTTAGCTAAGCCCAAAAACGATCGCAACTTTGTCAGCATGCGTGGCGTCGGCCAATCTCTAATCGCTGCGATTTTACAATCTTCTGGCTTAACGCCGTCTCCATCTAAGACGTGGCCTAGATATAAGACTTGGGTCTTCGCCCAATCGCACTTCTTTGCATTGATCTTGAAGTTAGCTTCTCTCAGCTTCTCCAAGACCTGCTTGAGATGACCCTGATGTTCTTGGAGGGTCTTGCTAAACACTAAGATGTCATCTAAGTAGACAACAACAAATCTATATAACCATGGCCTAAACAAATCGTTCATGCAGCGCTGGAACGTCGTTGGCGCATTGGTTAGTTCAAAGGGCATCACTATGAACTCATAGTGCCCATATCTAGTCCGGAAGGTTGTCTTATACTGATCATCAGAATGCACCTCTATCTGATGATATCCGGACTTCAAATCTATCTTTGAGAAGTACTTCAAGTCTATCCTAGGTAGTGGCTCATCATTCTTCACTGTAACAGCATTCAGGCCCCTATAGTCTATACACATCCTCAACTCGCCCTCTTTCTTGGGGACAAAGAGAACAGGCCCTCCAAATGGAGATGAACTGGGCCTAATCCAACCCTTCTCAAGGAGCTCGTCTAGTGCTTACGAAGCTCCTCTAACTCCCGCGGGGACATCTTGTACACCGCACCCTTAGGAGTTCTACTGCCAGGCTCTATCTCAATGCGATGCTGGATGGGCCGCGATACTACTCCTGTCGGCGGCTCAACTAGATCTTTAAACTCCTCCAGCAATTTGGCAATAGCAGGGTCTATAGGCTTCTCTTCCTTAGGCTCAGTCACTGGCCTAACATAGGCTACAAAGACATGTTCTTCTAGGTGCTCCTTCTTCACGAATCTCGCGAATGCAGGTGCACTAAGGCAACAATGTGCCAGGGGATTCTCTACTCCTGACACATGGAACAGGCGAACAGTCTTAGCCTCGCCTGAAGGACTAGAAAGCTTACACTCGTGCTCTTTCAAATGGAGTGTGGCCCCGACTGCCTCTCCCCAATCCATTCCCAGGACAATATCGAATGGGAGGCTGTCTTCTACGAGGAGAGTGAGGGACTGGAGGACCTTTTCCACTTTCCCATTTTTCTCTAGGCGGAAATACGCCTGGACTCCCTCTACATAATCCTCTACAATCATTGTACGGTTGTCAGCGAGGATACTAACTATGGGGTCTGTTAGTTTCTGGACTTTAAGTCCCAGCTTCAACTTCTGCAGCGCTTTCCTACTAATATAGCTGCGGGTGGCCCCTAAATCTACTAGGGCCCCTACTCTACGTCTAAAATCTATGTATCTAGTAATATAAGCTGCCCTTTATTCTCCTTCTTCATCTTGGCCCAAGCGGGCATCCTCTCCTTCAATTCATCAGCCACGCATGCGAGGGAGGTGTCTAGAGAGACTCTAACACAAGCAGTCTCTGGAGAGCTATCTAGACACCGGCCTGCAACCTCTGCCATAGGCACATGTGGTGTGGGAGTCTCTTGCCAGCTAGCGCTATGTTCCCCACATGGCCTAATGGTAGGGGCAGTTGCTACCCCTACCGGCGGCTGCCTTTTGGCCCTTGAGCAGCCTTCCGGGTCTCTCTATACTTAAAACAGTATTTAATGATATGGCCCGGGTCACCGCAGAAAATGCACTGGCCGCGGTCCAGATGCTGTTGCCATAAGCTCTGGTCCAGACTTTCCCAAGGCCTACCCTAGGGTAGCCCTGGGTGCCATCCACCTACCCTATAGGGAGACCTATTCCTAGGACGGTTTTGCGGGGGACCTTGACCATTTCCTCCCGCTTGGCGGTTTCCTCCTCTGCCGCCAACCCCTGATCGCCCTGAAACCGACTCCCTGAGGCCCGACCCCCTTGGCCTTGGCCTCGCCCTCCTCCTTGCGGCCTCCCTCCAGCTGCGACAACAACGTAAGTTCTCCCCTGACTCGCACCGCTGTCCTCCTTCTCTAACCCCCGCTCAATCTGCTCGTAGGGGATCCCGTCCACACTACCTTCATCTAAGGTAAGGACAAGGCTATCCTTGGTCTTTACTTGCCTTGAGATAGTGTGGCCTTTCCATTGCTTTCCTTTGTCGAGGTCTTTGTGCCAGAAGGCAGAAAGTGACACCGACTTCGCCTCGAAAGCCACCACTTCACGGCTAAGGGAATCATAAGTGGTGGCACGATCTTCACTCTTCGCTAAGAACTGCCCTCGAAAGGCTTCGGGCATAGCCCGATAGAAGAGGCCGACCTCTGTGACCCCATGGTTAGCGACAACTACCAATTCATTCATCGTATCCTTGAGTGCCCTGGCACTCGTCCATTTACGAGCGTGGATGGTCTGGAGCTTTTCTGAGGCCTTGACACTGCGAGCGACATCAGCAAATCGCTCGCGCAGCAATTTCATGAAATTAATGAGGGTGGTGAACGATGAGTAGGCCACTGCATCATTGTTGCAGTTGGCAGCGCGGACTAGGGACCTTGCGAAACTGGCGGCCTCATCTCTAAGCGCATGAATGGCAATTAACACGTGTTGATCTGGGGAGACCTGTTGCAGATGCACATAGGTCTTGACGTTGGCCTCCCAGTTGTCAAAGTTTTCTTCCCTTTTCCCACTGTAGGAATCAGGGAATTTGACTTTGACCGGCTCCCTACGAGGACGCGGCTCTTCCTCCTTGGGAGCTGCCACCTTGACGCCTTCAATGGCGCCAACACAAAAACGATCAGTCTTCTCGAGGCGATGATTCACCTCGGCTCCCACAACGCCTACCAATTCGCGGGCAAAGTCCCGGAATCCCATCCGCATCGAACGCACAGCTATATCATGACTTCGGCTAAACTCGTATTGTTGTTCTTGCACTCTGGCTAAACGCTCGACGCTCTGGGCGATGATCTCCACCTTTTGTTGGAGGCCTACCTGAGGGGTCAATCGTGCACCTCCTCTAAATCTTTGACTGCTTCACTCGCTGCGTCCACCTTCTTCTTCTTCTCCCTCATCATTGCGAGTTTCCACTCCATTCTCTTCTCGTCTTCCATCGCCTGCCGCTTCAAAACATCTCCTTCTGCTTCCCACTCCTTCATAGCGGCTTCCTGCTCATCCTTGGGGATGTACATAGTTACCTCTTCTTCTTCGCCCCGGGATAACTTGGCGACCCACTCTGAAATCCGTTTTTCCATCTCCTCATCTTTGCTGCCACTGTGCTGCCCTCTCCTCCTTTGCAGTGGCGGTTCATCTTCTTCTTCCTCTTCCACCTCCAACTTCTCCTCTTCTTCCTTCTTCAACCTCTCTTTCTCTCTAGCCATCTCCTCCTCTATCTTCTTCAACTTTGCCGCCTGTTCCTCCTGCAAGGCCTTCTTCTTGGCCTACTTCTTCTCCTTTCTCTCCTGCAGGATGGTGGCCATTTTCTCCTCCTCCTCCTTCGTGTAAGGTTGGGTGGAAGTGCCACCCCGGGTTCCTACTCTACACGTGAGAGTGGGCCAGAAGCCCAGAGGAAAGAGGAGACGCCAAAGGGTCCCCCAGAGGGAGAACCCAACAAGTTACCCATACATCGGATAGTCATCCATACTGGTGTCAGGTGCACGACAAAAAGTCCCACTCCTCACCACTTAGACCTACCCGGACACTGACACACTGACTGACTCTCTAGGGACCACAGGGTGGAACCCTGTCAACTATGGTCACTACTTTAGACCTAATCTAAGGCTGTCACTACTGAACCAACAGCTGATCTTGAGGCATTTAAGGAGATCCCCCAAACTCCGCAAGAATTCTTTAACGTCGCAGTCAGGACGATGTGATCAGCGTGGTTTTGCCTGTGCTTTCAACCCACAACTCAGCCTTTCCGGCCTATTGTGCCACACTGAGCAGCCCGCTGGTCTGTACCTGTCCTTGGGAGGGTTCGTATCCCCCGGGACAGTCGAGTCGTCAGACACAGATCATCAGCCTTACTGGGTTCGGTAGGGGGGTGGTTCAAACAGGCCCTCAACACTTACAGACAGCCTGGTGTGTCAGCCTTAGCTATCGTTCAGGCCCACTGAGTCGTACCAACCGTTTCCAGCCGGTCAGCACCGGTCCTTGGGGGGGTTAGGCCCCCCTGGAAAGTTGGATTAGCCACAGCCTCAGCCTTACAAGGTCAGACTAAGGTTTCGTCATCCAGACCTATCCTTCATGCACAGAGTCCTATTACCTAGGACAGAAGAGACTCGATGCAGAAAGAAGAGACAGACAGACTCAAACTCAGCAAGTACCGTAGGGTGAGTGCACATCCATAGGGTGAGGGGACAGGCTAGGGGCTTGGCGAGGCATTACCAACTCCAGCTTGGTCCAAGTCTTGGTCAACGGTGCCGGTCAACTCCTCGGTCAACGCTGGGTCAACGCTGCAAGGCCCTGGTCAACACCTCGGTCAACGTTGGGTCAACGCTGCAAGGCCCTGGTCAACACCTCGGTCAACCTTCCGGTCAACTCTTATCTCGGCTATGGCTGTCGGCACCTTCACCTTCGCCACCCTTGTCTTCTCCTTCCTTCCCCTTCACCTTCTTCTTCCTTTCTTTCTTTCTTTCTTTCTTTTTTTTTCTTTTTTTTTTTCTTTTTTTTTTTTTTTTGGGTCACCCTCGGCTATGTCTGCCTCCTTCTTCTATGTCCCTCCTTCCACACTTCTCCCTCTATCTTTCTTCGTCAGCAACCAGTCCCGGCAGCAGTAGGACGCGTCAGTGCATGGTGCTCACCCGCCCAAAGACAAGCGGCATGGAGCAGCAGCCAGGCGAGACTACCGAGGCCTATGAGGCCCGCATGCTGGACATGGTAGTAGAGTACAAGCAACGGGCAGCTGTCGCAACATCCGCACGTAAGAAGGAAGATGAGGAAGCAGAGGAACAACGTCGCCTCGCTGAACAGCAGCGACAGGCGGACGCTGACGCAACAGCAACGGCCGCAGACGAACGCCGTCGACTACGCCGAGACAAACTCCTCGGATGCGCGGGGGATATCGAGGTGATCGCCGGCGAATGGGCAGTGGCTGCTGAAGAGGAGGGTGCCCCCTCTGCTGTGCGTGGCCTTGCAACCACAATTGAACATGTGAGCGACTTGGTCGCCACCTGTGCAGCACAGCAAGAGGACATCCTCTGCATGGACACCCTGGTCTGGAAGCAGATTCCCGTTATTGATGAACTGCTTGACCGGGTACGTCGGCTGGAACAGCAGCTTGCATCATCCACCCCCGCTGGACCCTCCAACTTGATGGACCGCGTCAACGTCTTGGAAATCGACGTCGAGACTCTCAAGGACGGCACCATAACGACAAATCAGCGGATTGACCAGCAGATTTGCGCTGCCGCAGCCAGTTCGACTGCGACCAATCGCGAGAGCATCCCGAAGTTTGACGGCCTCCCGATCTTCTGTGATGCAACGAAGACGGACCCGATCCCATGGTGGTGGCAGTTCGAGTTGAAGTTGGACATTCACCACGTCATCAACCCGAACCGACACGCATACTTAGACTCCCGCTCGGGAGGCGCGTGCCAGGCATGGCTGGACAACATGTTGTCCCCGCACAACGTCGCAGTCTCCGAGCTGCATACGAAGATCAGTTGGGCTGATCCCTTGGCAGCATGGCATAAGCGGTTCCAAGTGGAGCCGCCCGAGCTTCAGGCAGCCGAGAAACTTCAAAGGTTCTATGAGAACGACCTGCCAAGCACGAACTGGATCACCCAGTACCAATGCTTGGCATCCACGCCCAACTTGCCATCGACATTTGTCGCTATCAAACACTTCTTCATCAGGAGGAATTGTTCGGCGTTGCAGAACGCCTTGACGCAAGTTGAGGAGACGCTCACCACAAGTGAGCAGCTCTTTGATAAAGCCTCGCAGATCATCCTGACGAACATCGAAGCCAAGAATTTGGGCCATTCGTCTGCTGCAGGCCCGGGCAGAGGACAGCATCAGCCGAAAGTGGTCGTGGTCGCAGCAACTACAACGACCGACCCTTCAAACGAGGCTGCTTCTTCCGAGGAAGGAGACAGATTGGCAGCCACCGGGGATGGTGGCCGCCCCGCCAGAGGGCGAGGACGCGGCAAACCGAAGACACACACCAATTCATCCCCCGGGGCCGGACCAGCAGCTCAAGAGCCTTGGACACATTACGGTGTCGAGCGCATCGGTCCGGCACCGCACGTGGCAGCGCGGGACCCTCTCGCCCGCTTCACAAAGGAGTTGGACCAACCTCGACACGAACACGTAACTGGAGCTTCCTTAGGCCGCTCCGGCCGAGTGCGCCAGCCATACCTCTCACGAGCCCCTACGACAAGATAGGGCCTACGCGAGGCACAACTTGCCTCCACCTTACGGGAGCTGTCACCTCCCTTCGGTGGGCGTATCCCCGCCGAGCTACCAGTCCACAATACGAAAGCTACTCGGTTGCAATCGCAGAGGTGGACCAGCCGAGGGTGTATAGGGGGCACGCGCGGTAATACGCCTATCGGACCCGCACGCGAACCGACATCTCGGGGGGCTGAAGTCCCAAGCGTGGCTCGTCGTCGGCCGACTAGGACGCATCCCACACACCACGCTCACACCACTCTACGAACACACAAAAAGAACGCACACACATACACATAAAACGACACAACACAGACAACACGACAACGCTCCTAGCCCCTTCAGTGGCCATCCCATAACTTTCCACTGCGAAAATCGGATAGGCGTCGCACGAGAGACTTGGTATAAAATTGCGCGGACGCAGGGCCCACTCATATTGACTAGCAATGCAACGTACGCAGGCAGTCGCAATGATGGCGTACCATGTAGTACCCATGCTCGTGCGGCCCCCATTAATCTCGAGGGTCGCGCTCGGCACTCAAGCGTCGGCTGACGCGCACCTTGAGGGTTAATCTCTTGACGTCGGACAACCGCCAAGCGCGGTTGAAGACCACACACCCTCTTCTGCACCTTATACAGAGCGGGTGGTACACAGGTCCATACTTGTGGTGGCAGTCGTTTCTTGCGGCCCTACTACAGGCTTGGGCAAAAGTCAAGGGGTTTGACTTTGACGGCTGCCACGGACTATAACGTCCAACCATGAAAACTCTAAAAAGCAAAAACGAATAGGCCGAGGATTCCTTTGTTCCCAAAAGGGGTCATGATCTTTGGGGTACCCTCCCCCCTCTTCGAACGATGCTCCGCGGCCTACAATAATCCCAAGCGTTTGCGTCTACGTGCGAGCCACGTGATCCCATAACTTTTAGATGCTGGGGCGGCAAAGCGTCGCACGCCGGATCTTAACATAAAGCCGCGCGGCTGCTGGCCAGTCCCATACCAACCAACGATGCCAGTCATACGTGGTAATCGTGGCTCAAGCCTCGCGATATTGAATGGTTGAAGGAATATACCGCGAGGGGTTACCCCTCACGATATTGAACGGCTGAAGGACATGCCGTTCAGCCCTCGCGACATCTCCGCCTTCAGGGTTGGGTGTCTCAACGGGCAGTGCAGATAGGCTCTGCGCGAGGGGGAGTCCCTCCCCTGCGGAGCCTAGGGCTTGGGATGTCCTGGACAAGGACCTTGAATCTCAACCCTGGACCAACGTCCGACTAAGAAAGCCCCCAAGGAGCAACAGGACTTAAAAGGAAAGCTTTCCCTATGTCCATCTCGGTCTTACCCTCTGAGTATGCCTTCAGTACGGGGCCCCTTGGGCCTCGCGAACACCCACCGTAAATACACCCAGGCATACATACATAAGGGAGGTAGAGTTGCGACAATCACTTCTCACAGGCACAGTGAGACTCCTCACGACCATATGTACATATATGAGATCGCAGGCAACCCAAATCGAAAATCCGAACCACAGGACCTACTTGCAATCACATCAAAGAATCGAACAACAAACCACGCACTACACGGAGTCAACCCCAACCAATCTCCGTACTCATACCCTTCGCTTTAGCCATGCAAGCCCCAGTTTCCTGTCCAGCCAGCCATAAATAAATACTCAGTACCTTTGTTAAATGGCCATTCAATAAAAGTCCGGGTGAAACCCTTAACAAACAATAAAGTCACCAGGGCTAAAGCCTTTTAGGTTGGGTATGGAGAGTGAGTTGGAATTGAGTCGTAGACCGATGAATCGACAATCGACCTGTTATCAGTGATAACAGAAGATGATCCTTGTAGGATCAAGCTGAAGCTAGCCCAAATCCTGAATCGAATGTCCAAGAAAGGTCTGTACCATGAGACAAGTCAATGCCCAAACGAAATCATCAGCATATGGGGGATGAACCTCCATAGCACATTCTCACTCAAGGTTATCTGCCAACTAAGTCCAAGCCTACCTCTAAGCCAGTGTCCAAAGCAAACGTAGACTAATGGCAGAATCTCCCCTATTCAGGGTGGATAGCCAGGATCGCCACTTGTCGAAATATAATCTAACTCCTCTAAATCAAGAAAATTTTGGCAGCGCTTTCCGTAGGAAAAGTGCCTTTTCAGAATTTATATCAGCCCGAATATGAAAGCAGAATTAGCCTTTAACTTTCCAAAGTCTAATTTTTGTCTAACTCTCTGAATTAGTAAAAATTTGGGCAGCACTCCCTTTAGGAAAGGAGACTTCCCATATTTTTACCAAGCCATATATGAACCTTAGACAAGTTGAACTTTGGAAGGCGAAAATTTGACTAACTCCCTGGATTTGTAGAGATTTCGGCAGTGCTTCCCATAGAGAAAGTAGCTTACCAAAATTTATAGAAAGCCAAGTATAATAAAAGATCTCAGAAAAAGCGAGAATTGGTCTAAGTAAAAAAACTCAGCTCAGAAAAATGCAGGAATCGAAACTAACTCCTATGGCCCTAGCACGAGGCGAGCGACTAAAGCAACTACCTATCAAACTGAAACTCAGACTAAGTAGTAGCCTCACTCAGTCACATGCAGGCCAGACCACAAAGGTGAGTACTCTTACCAACCCCAAGTCAGCTTAGCAAACAATAGTTCATGATCTTCCAGTGACTTAACCCTTTATACCCAACTTACATAGGGCATAAAGTCAGGTCATTTAATCTTATGAAACATGCCTGACCCAGCCATCAAATATACACGAACATGTTGCACAACTACTTTTCTCTTCCTTTGGGCATATGACCAAGCCATTCATCTTAAAAACAAAGCTTAGTCGCCCTGAGCTGTTTAATATCCAGGTCATATATATATATCTGACTTGGTATTCAAAAGTTGGACGTAGGACTGAGCCATTCATCTTAGAAACAAAGCTCAGCTTGCCCAATTTACCTTCAGTTATATTCTTAATTATACTCTCTTCGATTTATGATAAGCTATAGTCAGACCATCCAATCTTATGGAACCCGTGCCTGACTAGCCTGTTCATAGTAAAAATAGTAATAGAGTATAACCAAATTATAACCTTTTGGGTTCCAGCATATGCGAGGCAGCGGGCCAGACCATTCAATCTTATGAAACATATCTAGTTCCTTGCCAAGTTTGTTTCTCTCCGAAGCATCTGTGTGCGGCATTAGTTCAAAGCCATCCAATCTTATGGAACATGCTTTGTCCTCTGCCAAAAATTACTCCCTCAGAATAAAACAAGCGAAAGAGTTGGGCCATTCATCTTAGAAACAAAGCCCAACCCTCTCTTCTCAACACCAAAGAAAACAGATCACTCTAAGTTGGACCAGAGGTTGTTCAGAAACCACCCAGAAATAAACAGCTACCAGACCATTCACCTTAGAAACAAAGTCTGGTCCTTAAACTTGCACAGTCAAACCCCACAAAATAACTAGCCAGGCCATTCATCTTAAAAACAAACCTTGCCCTTTTCAGAAAATCAAAATAAACACAGCGGTCAGGCCATCCAATCTTATGGAACATGCTTGACCCCATGGGACCTTGTTAGTCTCAGGCAAAACCAGCTTTCACCCACCCTTTCCCCAGATGCAACCCCTTTTTCTAAACAAGTCTGCCTTCAGTCAAACAAAAAAAGTTGAAACTGAGCTTTCTCACCCATTTTCTTTATTTAATTTGAGTCATATCCTGTCAGTCAAACCAAAATCAAAGTAGGGACGCATATAGTATGCTCAGTCAAACATAGCAAGACGTACGGATAGGGGTTATATCAGGGTATATAGAGGGGGAAGCAACGATCACCTCTCAGTTCCCTGCCTCCAGAACTCCTCTTGAGTTTCGGCAGAGCTCCCGCAACGGCCAGCAACCATCCGGTTGTGGCATGCAGCAGTGTACCGCAGTCAACAGTAAGCGAGAACAATATTCCGACAATTAATGATAGCCCTCACATAGTCAGCCAGACACAACCCGTGCCCAGTTTGCAGCAGCGTGCTCAGCCCGCAGTAACCGGCAGTATATCAGAGCCTTGTCCCCCGCCAGCTGCTCATTTGTACGCATCGGAAATACCATCCACAGCCCCGACACCGACTACAGTGTCCGCCCCACAGGCTGTAGCAGACAGCAGTCGGCCGCAGCCACCAGCCGCAACAATACAGTGCCCGGGACAACCCCGCAAAAGTCGGCAAGCTCTATCGCTGCCTCCACGTTGCCCCGTCCGAAGCAAAAGGGCAACACTTCATTCAGCAAGAAAGTCCGCAACTCCACCGAATAGATCCTCAACCCTGCCGCCTACTCCCTTCACTGCTCCACTAGCCAAGAGAGGGGACGCAACAGTCCACAGGTAAACCTTCAGACCTCTAACTCCCTCGCCCCACTACGCCGTTCGAGGAGTAGGCAGTGCAACAGCCAGCAACTGAGCCTCCAAATCTGGTGGCATGTCTACAGTCACTCCACCCGGTCTCGTAGGCAAGGCTTTGGTTAGCAGGAAGTCCGTAATCCCGTGGCTAGCTCCCTTGCTACCGTACCCGACACTGCGGTAGTACTTCGGCTAGGCAGGTAAGTCTGCAATCCCCCCCCCCCCTCTATCTCGTCGCTCGCTCCGTCTTTCTTTCCACTTGATAGTGCACTCAGTCAAGACTCCTGGTCAGGCCCTGCCGACCACTTGACGCAGAGCTTTAAAGGGCACGAAGCACCCAATAGCTGTGTCCCCGGCTACTACGTTTACGTAACTGATAGGGGAGTAGAAGCTCCTACCCGTAACGTGGCCAACGCCGAGGTGGGACTACCGCTAAAACATAACCAGGGGCATCCTTTACTAGGAAGGGCAACGCCTTGGCCAACAAACGGAGCTTCACCCCGCGGCCCGCCTCACACCGCCCCTTCTATCGACAGGGCGAGTAGCACCTCCTGTCGCCAGGTAAGTCTTCAGTCTGCGCCCGTTGTTCCTCCGCCAAGCTCCGACCAACACCAAGGGCAAGTCAGAATGAATCTGTCGCCCGAGCCCGGAAAGATACGTTGCTACTCGTCACGCACGCAGAGGGGTTGGGAGGAGCTTCTGCCATCGACTGAACTGAGCACCTCACCAAGCAACAAGTAGGTCTTCCGCCCCGCGTCTGGCCTCGCGTTACCCCCGTCGAAATGGGAGGTAAATATTGAATGAATCTTCCTCCAGAACGTAGGAATATACATACTTTCTCTACACCCCCGATACCTCCACACAGCTCTCTCTCTCCTAACTCTCATTCTACTAACCCAAAGCCAAAACTAACCTTGCCATCGCATTCGCGTTCCCCCAAAACCCCGCGCTAGCGCCTTCGTTCGTTCGTTTTTGTTAAAAAACGAACGAGATCAACATTCCTCCCCTCGTTCTCTTCCACGCCGGCCATAGCTC